CAGGTTTGGATCAATTGAGCAAGTTCGACATGACCGCTACGATGGTTTGTATACTGTCACTTTCTATACTTAACCAACGGCTGCTGCGGGGCTACCCAGAAGCGCAATTACTTGTGCTCCGATCGATAAAGAGGGACACTTTAGGAATCCTCGACAATGCGTTATGATGTTTCCATTAGGCAAGATAATCATCTCTTTTCTCGTTCTCTTCCCGTTCTCCTATATTTGTCCTAACTTTTTCATCTCCACTTACCCAAACTCAAGACTCTTTCAAACTTCTGGCAGTAGTCTGGCGGCTTTGTACAATACGTATCTTGGTGCGATCCCACACATCCCCCCATTCCATACCCGACTTCACAGCCTTTGAACTCTTCGCGTCTCGCTTCTATTCCGATCCTTCCATCTATCCTGCTTGTCAGTCACTTTCCCAGCATCACATTGGGATAGTCCTCACACGGCGAAACACCTTTAACGGGAAATTATACAAGGAAGATCCTGTAATATTCGTATGGGAGTTGGCAAACGAACCACAAATAGTTTTGGGAGATAATGGGAGAAAGATCGTCAGGACATGGATCGAAGAAAGTGCAAGAATCTGGATGCAAATCACTTGGTGGCGACAGGAGCCGAAGGGAAAATGGGAAGGATTGGAAATGCACAAGTGCAGCGATATTGGTACGAAATAACATGCTAAGGCATACGGGTAGGGAATATGAGAAAAAGTTGTGCTCATAAACTAAAGGGAGGGAGGCAAGGATATTATAGAGTTCAGGAATGGTATTGGAGTACTACGAGAACTTCCGAAAAACTAACACAGATGACAACTGAACTGATTATTAAATCTTACCCCTTTCATAGATTACGCAAGTGCTCACGTTTGGGTAGAAAATTGGGGATATTACGATTCAAATGATCCATCAACTCGCGAGCAGAAAATTTCATGTTGAACTTTATTGCAAATGGTCACGGAAGAGTTAGAAAAGCCCGTATATCTTGCAGAATATGGTAAGAAAATTGCTCAAACTATTCTCCATATTGGTTTTCCATCGTCTATTTCTCCTATATTGGATCCTATCCTCCAGGCCTTGCAAGAGACGGTTGGCTCCCTGTATCCCATCAGCATCGACAATAAATCGTAATAAATACTACAGCTCACTATTTGTCGCTCGAGAAATCGCGCTCTTTCGATGGACAGGCATTTTGCGCGTATGCTGGAATTGCCACCTCAATGGTTGGGTGATCCGTCCGCCTCACGAGCGTAAGTTTGGATAATGAAATGATGCGTGGTGGGAAAGAGGGTGGGAGTATAGGTAGGGAGGAGGAAACATAGAGTGAGAAAAATCATGCTGTGCCAGAATGTATGAGTTAGAATTGACAATTCTGTGTTTTTAGCTGCTGGCTGGTATTCGGTGTACGATGCTGATGAATAGACGTTGCAGATAATAAGAAAGCATTCGGACGAGGTATCAACAAGTTGGAGGAATGATATAAGCTGTGAAGCACCTCGACTTGGGTTTATCAGTTATACTTTGAAGAGTGAACGATTACATAATATAATACTTTCACACAAAAACACGATCATTGAAACCCCAGTTTGGAAAGCTCAAACAAGCCGAAATGTGAGCAGACCAGAAAACTAAAGCAAAGTACAAAAAAACACCACATACCCTCCTCTCGTTAAGAATGAATTTGTGCGCAACGGATTGGCTGTTGACGACGTGATCTTGATTAAAGTATTTGTCGCATTGGTTATGCTCTTGAACGAAGTTATTGGGAGTTTCGCAGTCGTCATGGATAATATCTGATCGAGTAACGGTATAGTTTTGCTTGTCTAAAAATAAGTACAAGTACGAGCCTAGAGAGAAGAAGACGAAGAAGCAAAATATTGAAATAGATGTAAAAACAAAGGGAGCGGGGATTTTGCGCATACTCCAAATTTCAAACCAGCTACAATAAGTCTAGATACGCCAGTCCTTGGTGACACTTACAAAAATGCAGGAGATCTCCATTTTCTTTGATGGGTTAGAGAGTGGCAGGAGAATGACGACGATAGAAAAGAAGATATAAAAGCGGAAGTGGAAAGCCCCACTTGCGAAATGGGTGAAGAGCGTGATAATCATCATCATCACCACGAAGCTAACGTAGTAAAGGTTAACTGGAAGACTCGAGCAGATGAATTTTGAGGGCAGTAGGAACCAAGTTATTAGACGAAAGTTTTATCTGTAATTTTCGATCAACCATTCTTGCTCAGAAGTAGTACATAGTATTATATTTTACATAACTTATGCGATTAGACAATTACGATATGGTGAACAAGTAATTTTAATATATTCGGCTTGAAAAAGCGTTTGTCGTACATAATCAAATAGCATTTACACTTTGATGTATATCATATACAGTACACTATTAACATACGGTAAATGTAACATTGTTACGTGTCAATATAATATACTTATATACTTTTGTAGATTATTATATACAGTATTAACTACTTCACCATTTTGTCTTGTCTGTTCTCAAGAAATATAAATATTGTTACATGTCAATATAATATACTTATACTGTTACTAATATTATCGTTGAAGATAGTCTTTCAAATAATGGAAAGACTCATATTAGCATACTGTATACTCATGACTTGCAATTATGGTTATCGATTGCTACAGCGAGCGAATCTTTTTCCATTGTGAATATAATACTTCAAACGCCAAATAAATAGGAGAGCGGACTCGAGCATCATAATATTTGAGAAGAATTACGGTAAGAGCTTGCTAGTAAGGCTCGAGATTTTTTTGTCACGTAAATAAATATTGTCAGGTTAGAATGCATAGATGAAATACTGTATGCCAATCATTGCGCTGTAAATGTTGGAGTGATTAGCAGCTATAAAGTATGAGGCCGTAATAATTTGTTATGTAATGATATCAACTTTCAATACGTGATGAAAAAGGTTGTCATTTTTATAATAATTCCTGCCCGCATACAATTTTAGCATAAAACGCGTTGTGTAAACATACAAAGCTTATGTTTATGGTTTGTATGACAAGAAAATAAGTTTATTACATTTTGGCGTAAGGACAATAACAAAAAGGTTGCAGTGTTGTTTCATATCGCTCTGTAGGTCGGTGTATAAACCGAGGGGATATATAAAAAAAGCCGGTGTATTGCTCACCGAAAAGCACGACTAATCGATTAATTAAATCGATAATAAAATCTTGATATATTTATATATAGTTTGATGCAATGGTTGCAAAACTGTAGTGAGGCAACTCTTTTGGTCGTACTGTATAGGAAACATTATTCACTTCTTTTCTTCAATTTCACTCTCAATCGATCACAGTAAAGCGTCAACTTATATGCAGTCTTAGGCTTTTCATTCTCATTAGCCAACTCTATATCATATCTATTATATAATGAGGCTAGGACGATCTTTGAAAAAAGCATCGCATACTGTTTACCAGGGCATAAACGCAGTCCTCCCCCAAATGTTTGAATGGAATATGGAACAATATCTTTAGAAAGAAACCGCTCAGGCTTAAATTCTTCGGGATTAGACCAGTGTGCTCGATGGTTCTGAATACCATACACGTCTAGAATGAACTGTGTTCCTGCCTAAATAAAACAAATTTGCATTACATTTTGATTGAATCATTAACCGATTAGTAAATCGTCTGTTTGTATTAACATTAAACGCAGACGTATGTCTCTATTTCAAATTACCTTCCACTTATATCCACCGATTTCATCATCCTGTGTAGCAACTCTTTGATTAATGGGCGAAGGAGGATAAAGCCGCGAGGCTTCTTTGATGACCGCTTCAAGATAATCGAGTTTTTTATTCACGTCATCGAGCTGCAGTATTCCATTCGGGTTATCTTTGAACAGGGGATCGACCTCCTCCCGTATTTTCTCCTTCACTTCCGGATTGCGACAGACCAAATAGACGACATAACACATGAGACTAGCAGACTACAAATTGAATTGAGCAATTAAATCTGGGTCGCGCATGTGCCGTGTTTCGCTACAAAATAACGTGAATGCTGACATACTTACAGTTTCTACAGCCCCAACCCACGTTTCTAACAACACCCCTCTAACTTCATCATCACTCATAGGCATGTCTATTTCATCCGATCCCCTTTTCACGGTAGGTCCACGATGGGTATTCGCGACCAGTAATAATCTCAAGATGTCACAGTTGTTCTTTGAATCGTTAACCCCGTTTTCAACCTCGGCTCTCGTTTCTCTAATTATCGTCGACAGGTTGTTGGTTAAACAATGGAAATTTTTCAGATACTTTCTTCTTTTCATCAAACCATTTGGAGTTCCCAGCCTAATGAAATCAGGCATAAATATGGCCGTACGCAGAGTCTCCATGAATGTCGTCCAACGATCGCGGAATTCTTTGGCATAATTCATGGTTTCAGGCGAATAAGGAATTTCGGAATTTGGTGAGTGAGAAAGGAGGAGAGATGCAAGAGCGCAACCGGATCTGCTAGTAGATAGGTACAGTATGTCGTCTAGAGTTAACGCATGGAACCAATCTGAAATATTAATGATTTTATCGTTGCTGACAGTTGCATGCTTATTGGTATTGTCTTTCAAATCATTTTGACGCGCATCCTCTATACATCTCAATTTGGTCCAATACGTTTCCATTTCATTGATCATCTTTGGCACGGTTTTAATAACATAGTTATTAAACTCTTTCGATGTCATCACGAGTCTCATCATCCTCCTATTAAAGGCCCAAAGATCCAGATCTCTATTCAGTACAACTCCGTGGTCCAACATTTTAATTTCGGCAAGCGCTCTCTTCCAATTTGTTCTATGTTTGTAATTACTTTTTGTCGACGAACTAAACAATTTGTCTACTAAATCGGCTCTCGAAAGCCATACGTGTCTTTCGGATCCCATATACAGTTCCCACATGTCACCATACTTCTTACGGAGAGTATGGGCCCATACTACCATGTCTCCATACATGGCATATTGAAGGAGATTGCCTACTATAGGTAATGGAAGTGGACCAGGAAGTGCATTGTCTCTATTAAAGTAAGATACATAGAATTTGATTGTGTATAGCACAAAGACAAGTATTGATAGAGCAAGAGTATTTAGCAACGTGGATGTGCTGAAGAACGCAGGAAAAGTTAATGCGTCAACTGATAACATTTGGGACGATCAAATGTTAATCAAGTGAAAAATGCTGGAGTCATATATATGTATCATCTCCTGCGCTGCGCTTCTTATTCCCGTCATATTTTTGGGACTGATGACATTGGAAAAGAATTGAAAAATTGTATAAATATAAAGCCATGGTATTCATAACTGAATGCGGAAATGATTTTCGGGAAGTCTTTAGGTAACAAATCAAGAGGCCTCTCTATACAATAACACTTACAGTGATTTGGTAGCATGACCCTATAGTATAGTGTAATGCTATGATATTGCTATATGCTAAATATTAAGGGCGAGATAAACCTTTTAATTATTAGTATTGTAAAAATGCAACAATTTAGGTTGCAAGTGAGGTCCATAATTCATTATACCCGCCATTTTGTCGCTGACAAATATACGTGAGAATGGAGGCGTTGAGTGAGGCAAGCCGATTGTTTACATCCACATGCTGATCAATCAGACTACAACCACTAACCTTAAAGCGACGATACGATTAAAATAATAGTCATGATGATGCGATCGATTTCGGAAGATCATCGGGATAACTTCTTCCGGACTACACATATTGTGAGTAAAGGTTTTGCTGGAATCCCTAATTCCGTGAGTCGGATATATGTTTTTTCCGAAACCCTGAGCAAATGTAGTTATCCCTTAACCTTCTGCGCTCATTTGTTTCATTTCTATTAACTTTCTTCGAGTATAAAATAATCATGAAGGTAAAAAGCTAAGAATAGTAGGCTAAACATCATCGACTCCTACAGCATAGGCTATGTGTCACACCATAAATACGCGCATTTCTGATAGTGTTCCCTTCGCACGACGCGTTGATTAATCCCTTTTATATAACTGTATAATAAACGGTTTAACTAAGAATTATTGTTAGTTGTTGCGCGTCATTATCGCTGACCTGAAGCTACATTACTGCATCCGTTAGCTGTAAGAATTAAATTATTTACAACATGTATATGTGTTTTCAGATTTGCAAAAGGCGGGGAAATTGTCCATTTTAATAAACTCGCACAATGCAGTGATATAATACTCTTAAAGTACGCGACGTAAAGGAATGTTACTTGTCCGTTTACTTTTGAGTAACTCGTCTATACGCAAAAGTTGTATAACGCAATAGGGTAGAGACCACAAAAAATTTTGCCTACAATGGTTAGCAGGCTGGCGTATTGCTACGAACTGAAAGTGGAAGTTGCTTTTTTCAAACAAGAGTAAATTAAATAAATTTCTTAAAAGCGAAACCAGAGGTATAGAACGGGCGAAAATAACGCTGATATAAATGAAATACGGAATCATAACTTAAGGAATTACTCCTTACAAATTTTATTTAATATTTAATGGATTGCTTACACGATTTCTCGATTAACACAATTTGTAACAAATGACTACAGCTACATATTAGATACAATCAATGCTGAGACCATTGGATAGATTTCAGATCAATTCCCTCTTGTACCTAAATGAAAATAACGTTAGAACAACTCTCATAATACTAACAGTATATTTACGGACTTACCATTTCCCATAACGGTGACATTTCTCTTAGTTTATCAACATGTTGCGTCACTCTCTCAACCACAAGATCTATCTCACGCTCTGTGGTAAATCTACCAATACCGAACCTGATACTCGAATGAGCCATATCATCATCAGCTCCGAGTGCACGAAGCACGTAAGACGGTTCAAGAGAAGCTGATGTACAGGCTGATCCCGAAGATAGTGCAATATCCTTCAAGGCCATGAGTAGGGATTCACCTTCTATATAAGCAAATGATAGATTGACACAACCTGCATAGGTCTTATTGGGATCCCCGTTACGGACAACATGCTCAACGCGTGACATAATCCCATTTACTAGACGGTCTGACAGCTGTTCCACCCGCTTGGCATCATACTACAGGGAGAAAACGTTACAGACAATAAGTAGAGGATTTAAAAATAGTATAACCAATCGTTAAGGCAAATTCTCGTCTACTTTCTCATATCTTTACTATTCGTCCACCAAATAACAGAATGATTTCTCACTATCCTTATAGCCAAGCAATGCACCCTCTAAGTAATAGTGTACTTAATTCATACATTTCACGTAACTTTGTGCTGCACACTTACCGCCATCTCCTCCTTGGATATTCTACATGCTTCACCCAAACCGACGACCAATGGAGTAGGTACAGTTCCACTTCTTAATCCTCTCTCCTGTCCACCTCCACTCTGTAATGCTTCTAGTCTCACCCTCGGTTTCCTCCTCACATATAATGCTCCAATACCCTTAGGTCCATACAGCTTATGACCAGATATACTCATCAAGTCAATGTTCATCTTATTCACGTCCATTGGTATCTTCCCGACTGCCTGTGCTGCATCAGTGTGGAAGAATACTTTCTTGGCCCTGCAAATCTTTCCTATTTCTTCAACTGGTTGAATTACTCCAATCTCATTGTTTACTGTCATAATCGATACGAGTGCTGTATCAGGTCTAATTGTTTGAGCAAGGAGTTCTAAATCAATTATTCCCGACTCGGAGACTGGTAGATATGTAATATCGAAACCCTCTTCGGCTAATACACGACATGAATCAAGAACACATTTGTGTTCCTAACGACTCCGGAATTCAAAATACAGATGTAAGTACGATTGCATAAAATCCGGTTTGACTTGATACCCATAACAGTGAACGCTACTCACAATTTGAGTAGTAATCAGATGTTTCTTACTTGTCCGATAAAATCGAGCAACTCCCTTTGTGCTCATATTATTAGCCTCGGTTGCACCGGATGTAAATATTATTTCTTTTGGATCAGCTCCAATAAGGGAAGCAACATGCTGAATTAAGGCAACATTCGATTGACGGTTAATGAGGTCTACCCATACTCGTTACATATATTGTATTAGCACACCATATACATACAACGCGAGCCTCGTCAACAGCCTTTTCCGCTTCCCACCCATACGCATGCGTTCTCGAATGTGGATTACCATACTGCTCAGTCCAATATGGTAGCATGGCGTCTAGTACGCGAGGATCAGTAGGCGTAGTCGCCTGCATATCTAAATATATTGGCCTATTTGCCTTCTTCACTTTCGTGGCTTCAAAGCCAAGAAGCTCTATACATGTACAGTTCGTTATAAATATAGAGAGCAATCGGTTAAATGCCAATTCAACAAAAGCTTCACACCTGCTAGCTGTATCTCGAGAGTATAAAAAGCATCTATTTACCCGGCCCAGGTGTTATCGTCTTTGGAACAGTTTCCGTAGTAACAGCATGCTTAGAAGGAGTAGTCAATGAAATGTATGATCGTCGTTCCCGCAATACCCCACTAATACTTGGGGAAAGCAGCCGCTTAGTCAATAATCTTGCTGTTCCCTGGGATAACATGCTAATCGTCGAATGTCTTAACATGAAAAAAAGTGTGGAGGAAAGATTGTTCAAAAATTCTCGAAAAAAGCACAATCGAAATTTATAATCCAGTATGTCTCTGTGCGTGACACAATCCTCACGGTTAAAACGAGTCTAGCCTTATTTGTTCTGCATTAACATTTAACTACCGTAATACTAATACTAATATAAACAATCATTAGAGCCAGCAGAGGAAACTATATCTAATTTTTTAAATTAAATTTCCAAAGACTGTTCGACTGAGATTGTTGTGTTTGCAATATCAAACAAACACAATATATGATACAGTACATCTGCTCATTTTCAACATTCTCATACCATACAAGAAAGAAAATGAGAAATCAAAAGAGTGAGAGAATGAGAAACGATTTAATAATCGTATTTGGTTAAGATAAACATTCTAATTCCTGGCCCAACCGACAAAGTCTTTTGCACGAAGCGCGCCTTGAATTCTTTTGCTTCAATAGTTGCACCCAACATTCACAGGACATTAAAACATTTAAAGCGGGGGGAGGATAAAAGAATTTGTGTTATCAATATGAACGAAGCGATTTATATTCAGACATACATTGGAATAAAACTTAATTGATTAATAGGAACTGTTTATATCAAACAAGAGTTTGGCATTTTGGAAAAGCAACGTCATAATGTCGCAAAATCTGCAGTACATAGGCAGACTCAATACGTAAGCCAAAGGATATCCGCTCTCCGATGAACGACTTATCGAGTATCATGTATTATATATAATACATTTAATAAATCGTTATGCTTATTAATACTCTTTAAGTTAGCTTGTTTTGGAGAAAAGCTATTGCTTCATTTTGTATCCGTCATCCTGATATAATTCAGAGTGAGATTCTTTGAATTGCTTGTAAAATTCTAATACTATTTATTGAAAAATATTTTCAGTCTCCATTGTTTTTGAACTCCCACCAAGCATCAATTACTGAATATAGTGAAATATTGTTGACGTTTTTATATTCACATAACTTAATTTTCTTGGGGTTCACCTCTTTCACTTTATGGAAATCCATAGCTTATTCAATCATGATATTGATTCTTTTTGATACATCGAGATTATGTCGCAAGTTTTTATGAAGTTAATAGACATGTCACAGCTGCGACAAATACCACTTCATTCGTTTAATCAAATGTTGTCTGCCCTACTTATATCAAGAACAACAACTAATAATAATTCTTAGTCAAAGAGGGTAGAAACCATTGTGTTGGTGGTATAACACTAATAACAAATCAATTCAATCCAATAGTCATATTAAATAGAATGCACGATCAGTAGTGAAATCAATTGAATTTCTCGTCTATGATTGTTAAACACATCACTAGGAGCGGATGATGAATTCATTAAAATACGCGTCGAAATTTATGGCCTCTTTCCTTCAACGATGGAATTAGCTAGCACTTATAGACACGTTTTGTGGTAGAACACAATTTTAACGTCTGATACATTAATAGTTCTACATATTTTTTCATAGCCAACCCAACATTAGCTTTGAGCTTCGATAATTATGCAGCTTTTTATGCAGCTTTTATTGTTCCAAACTACGAAACCCGCTAAAGCTAGTTTTAACATCTAGAAGAGGGGCACTAAAGAAGTAGCCATGCGGGAAGCCTTACGTGAAAGAATGCTGGGTTAATGAGGAAAAGATAAATAATACATGGTTAGGAGAAGGCCACAGAGAGGAGTGAGAAATTGAATAATTATAATAATCTTTTGAGATAGCGATTATCCGATACCGCTCAATGCGAGTGACACGATTACGTAATTACCACTGTATGTAATTGATTATCGTTCTTAAATCCTTGCTTTTTGAGCTTTGTCTGAACCAAGAGTTTGGGTTTTAAGTGAATGCTCGAGTTCAATTAAAAATACTTGGAAACGAACACACACATATCTTCATACGACCATGAGTTACGGCGCAGTTCCAATTTCTTCAGTCGAGGGGTCGTCGTCGTCGTCGTCGTCTTCTCCTTCTCGCAGTAGCAGCTCTCCAAGAGGCGGATTGGCTGGCTTTTTGGATTCAAGCGCGCTGCGTAAGACCATTCTCGTTCTCGTTGCTATTGATTTTGCGGCTGTAATGGGGACGATTATCGTAACACTTCTTCATCCCGTGGAGCACGAAGATGACATCCTCGTAATACTTAACCTAATAGCATTCTCAATAAATACAATATTCTTGATTGAACTCACCCTCAGATTACTTGCGTTTAGATGTACCCCTTTTTACAAGGGAGAGTACTGGTTTCTGTCACTATTTGATGCAATAGTTGTGATATCTACATTTACGCTCGACGTCATTTTGACTGGAAATTTGCGTGAAGTTGCTAGTCTTTTGGTTGTCTTCCGTTTCTGGAGGATAGTGGAGGTCACTGAAGTTGCGGCTCTTGGGGTTGCGAGGTACGATGAAGAGTATGATAGACAGAGAAATCAGAAGGTGAAAGAGCTAGAGGGTCAGTTGAACAAAATTCTCAAGGCCGTAGAGAAAATTGCAAATGAGGACGATTGGGATGACAGCAAAAGAGAGAGAATATTTGGATACTCGACAATCCCTTTCGTGCGATCTTATTACGATTAGATAAGAGGATGTCATAAGTGCATATCATGGGGACGGGAAAACGAACAATAATACGATACGAAGAATGTAATTGTATTATTGCAGAGTGCGTGCTAATTGTGACGTACATATTTCTCTTGTAAATGGAAATGAATCTCTATGTATGCAGTATAGTAATGACTACAAATTCAAATCTTTAAATTAAAGAGCTTTTGTTCACGTTTCAATGATGATTGGGGTTTATTGATAACGAACGATGTACAATGACGACTGCTTCCATTTTGGCTTGTTATTATACGATTACACTCATTCATAGCTCCATCAGATTTCTGTTCTCACTAGTCACTCATAAGCAAGCTCGCATATGCCTACTCCTTAACAAATAGAGTGACAATATAACAAACTCAAACCTCAGTGTAATCCTCTAGTGTCGTTGTATTCATCATTTGGAAACTAATATGAGTGATTTCCCATCAAACTGCAATCAAGTACTTCGCAAGATTCAAGGAACAGCCTTCCGATTGCAAACTAATTCTGCATCATGAGGAGTTTAGCAAGTCTGAATGACTGCTCAAGACACGGAAGTATATAACATATTCACGTTATATGCTACAATATTTATACTCCTTTCTCAATGTCCTTATCTTGTCGACATACGGCTTACAAGAACACTTGCATACGGTAACTCGATAGCGCGCTAGATAGAGACCACTTATTAATTAACGAAAATACAATGTTGGGGCTTAAATTTATAAGATCAACAATGATGACGCAATCAATCATTGCGTAAGCTTTTACATATAATTAGAAAATGTTTTTTTAATCGAAAAAGACATTTTGCTTCTATTAACCATGACGAGCCTAGACGATAATAGCATTTGGCAGAAAGCGAATGAAGAGGGAATGGAAGATTTGGGGCAAGAGATTTTGAAAGCGAGCACCGACGAGATAAATCAACTTACGCGGTTGTTAGAGAATGAGATCAAGGTTATTGATACGTCTGAATTTATGTTGTTGGATAGCGGAATCGACAGTATATAATATAGTAGATTAACAATGATGCCAAGTATCAATTGGATGTTTATTAACCATTCATACTCTATGATACGTGTTGCATTCCGTCTTGCTATCGTTGAGAGCCTTATTACTTTCTCGTTTTTTTTTACCCAGTCATGATCATCACGTGAATTCATTCCTTTGTTGCTATGTATAGGTATTTAAGTCAGAATATCAGCGTTTGACTCATGAGCAGAATCATATGAGGGAGAAGATAAAGGACAATCGAGAGAAGATAAAGGTTAACAAGCAATTACCCTATCTTGTCGGAAATGTGGTTGAGGTATGAATGAATCGCCTTACCAAATCGACTGCGAGAATAGAATTTTGTTTTACTCAATACCGTCTGTGTAGCTGCTCGATATGAATCCAAATGATGAGCCAGAAGAAGATGGAGCAAACATCGATCTAGACGCACATCGTAAAGGCAAATGTGCCGTAATCAAAACATCGACGCGACAGGTATGAAGATATGTTTGTCTTTGAAAAACTTCTAAAACTACCGAGTTGCCTATCGATGTGACTGTATGGTGGAGATTGAATTTTCCAAGTCTTTTTGAACGTTATTAGAAATGCTAAAAGCCATGTTTATTGCAAAGTTATATCATGTTCTAATTAGTCGTAAAACTTGCTACGTCGCTTTTTTTTTAACCGGTGTTGTATTGACAGACAATCTTCCTGCCTTTAATCGGTCTCGTCGATCCGGCTACTCTAAAACCTGCCGATCTTATTGGAGTAAACAAAGATAGTTACTTGGTCTTGGACACTTTACCTGCAGAGTAAGCAATTAAAACTGTGAAGGATAACGAACTAAACGTGAGTAGTAATCGTGATTAACAGTCATCTTGTCATAATATAGATATGATTCAAGAGTGAAAGCAATGGAAGTGGATGAAAAGCCTACAGAAGACTATACGGATATTGGAGGTCTAGACAAACAAATTGAAGAATTAGTTGAAGCGATTGTCTTGCCAATGTCGCATGGGGAGAGATTTAAAAATCTAGGAATTAAACCACCGAAAGGTCAGCAAGCATACCGTGAATGGATTTATCTTGTGATAACGTGATGCTAATTTCACTACTTGTTTTATAGGAGTATTGATGTATGGTGCGCCTGGAACTGGAAAGACTCTGTTAGCAAGAGCATGTGCGGCACAGACAAACTCGACTTATTTGAAGTTAGCTGGACCACAACTTGTCCAGGTATGCAACCTTAGTCTTATGAACAGCCACGGCGATCTATAAATAATTAGCGTTCTATTCATATATATAGATATAGATATTTCAGATATTAATTATAACTGCTCTGATTTAGATGTTTATCGGTGATGGCGCGAAATTAGTTCGCGATGCATTTAATTTGGCAAAAGAGAAGGCACCTTCTATTATTTTCATTGATGAGTTGGATGCCATAGGAACGAAACGATTTGACAGTGAGAAGAGTGGAGACCGAGAAGTTCAACGGACAATGTTGGAGTTATTAAATCAACTTGATGGATTCAGTAGCGATGAACGAATTAAGGTCGGTACACATACATATACGACGCATATTTATATTCAATTTAAAAAAAAAATTTTTTTTTCAAAAATTTTTTTTTCCAGGTAATTGCTGCCACAAATCGAATAGACATTCTTGATCCTGCACTTTTGCGATCAGGTCGTTTAGATCGAAAAATAGAATTCCCCCTTCCCAACGAGGAAGCACGTGCTCGTATCCTTCAGATTCATTCGCGAAAGATGACGGTTGCTGCTGATGTAAACTTTGAGGAACTTGCCCGTTGCTGTGATGAGTTTAATGGAGCACAATGCAAGGCCGTTTGTGTCGAGGCTGGTATGCTGGCACTTCGACGCGGTGCCACCGAATTGAGTCACGAAGATTTCATGGACGGTAAGTTGATTGTATAATATTCGGATATAGTTCGTGATGGATGTAAATATTGTTCAGAGGTTTATAACCCTTATCTTGTACATTATAATACCATAGGTATTCAAGAAGTAATGGCAAAGAAGAAGACGTCACTCCAGTATTATGCATAGATAGTTTGCAGTTAAGGTGTTGTTGTTTCACAAGTTTTAAAGTTGGCTGATCAGTAAATTGATTAATTCGACGATTTCCCAGCATAAATTATCAATAAACCAGTAGCAAGGGATCAAGAGTTCCTGCATGCTCGACTTTTTAATATTTAATTACTTCAAATAATAGAGCACATCCAGATCTAAATCTTAATAAAAATAATTGACATTCAATTTTACTTTGTTGTTTGCATCTTGAGAACCTTCTAATCATCACATAACTGTCAATATGATTCCATCAACAAACGATTGACTAGCTAAGAGGTAAATATTGGCATATCAACAACACAAACCTTCTTATTGTTATTGTTATTACTATTATTATAATTAGCTTAGATCGGAAATCGTTACCAAATTTCGACTGTATAAATAACCAGTGGATGTGAGTGGCTAAAGTGCAGTATTTGACACGTGGAACCTTATAAACGGCCGGATGCATAACCCGAATGATTCTTTTTTTTTTTTTTTTTTTTTTGATGCTATAACAAAACAATTTATTATTGTTGAGAGGAAACCTTTAGTCTCAATGAGAATTTTTCTATTGTAATCCATGTACGAATTTAGAATCGCCAAAGAATCATTTGAGGAATAACACTTGCGCATATAAACAGGTGCTTCTATCAAGCGCAAATGACGTAATCTAACTCGGGGGAGCCTGCTCAGCATCTCTTCCACAGGTTGCTCGAGCGAGCATGCAATCTTTAATTTCTAAGACATGGTTGTTTTTTTTCATTGTAACGTTAAGCTAGAGAATGTACGTACGAAAGACCCAAATATATAAATCGTTATGAACCTCCCATCAACATGTCAATCAATGCTGTTAGTTTTTTGTTGGTCATGAGAACGGTTCATGTGATCTATATATTAATATAAGATATATGTTGGGATCAGTAATTAGTATTATATATTAGTAAGTTTAAATTCGAAAATCACATGCGGATTTGGCTGGTCCGCAATAAAGATAAACAGGATCGATTACCAATAAGGATAATGATAATCTAATCAAACGGTTACTCTTATTACTTATTATATACACTTTCTCAGGCAGTAACACTGTAACAAGCGTTTGTTACGTTACGCATGCAACTCATTTAGCTTATATTATGGCTCAAGCTTTATCTGATTTGTATTATTAAGCACTTTCCGTACATCCCATTCACATACCCTTCGTCACAGACTTTTGCTCTAAACTTGCTCAATCTTTTCATTCTCTTCTAGTCCATCAATCTTGCATCTCAGTCTTGACTACATCTCATCTCATCTCACTTTATTCTTTCTAGTAACTTTTAGGGCCTTATCATTGTGCAGCTACGCCAAATAAGGTATATCTGATATAGGGAGTCATCTATTATCAGATGTTTGCACAAATCACGTAACACAAACCTATGTACTTAAAAAGGCTTTGCACAGAAGAATCTGATAACCTTCTTTATCTACAAACTTTTTTTTTAAAAAAAAAAAGAAAAGAAAAAGAGAAAACATTATATCAAATACTCTCATATTTCACTCCAACTAATCATGCCTGAAATACCCGAACACGACTATGACTATGAATCACTTCCGGATACCTCTTCTCTTAGCGTAAACTTAATAGCGGGAGCACTGGCTGGAATAGGAGAGCATACAATAATGTATCCAGCTGACAGCATAAAGGTGGGTATTTTAGCTTGAGAACAAACCTGCCTGTATAAATATAGTAAACGACGCAGTAAACCATGAATACAGATTCGATTGATATATTTTCATCGACAGAACATTGATGTATTAATCAATAATTTGCTAATGTTTCTATTGTATGCAGACACGCATGCAAATACTCAATCCAACACCGCAAGCTGTCTACACCGGTGTAGGAAACGCAATAACTCGCATTTCTACAACTGAAGGCATCAGAACATTATGGAGAGGAGTAAATTCAGTCATCCTGGGAGCAGGCCCCTCTCATGCTCTGTATTTCGGAACGTACGAGTTTTGCAAAGATTTTTTCGGGGGTAATAAGCCAGATGGACATCACCCGATCGCTACAGGTAAATTATCGTCTGTGTAGAGTTGATTAACTGTTTGACAGTTTTTGACAAGGATTTGGTCTTTCCACCTACAGCTGCAGCTGGAGCATGTGCAACCATAGCAAGTGATGCATTGATGAATCCATTTGATGGTAAGCATGAAAGAATTCTATTACAATTCCAATTCTTATTTGCCTTGCTGGCGCGCATGTAATTCTAACTTGTTGTCCATCAATCAATAAATAGTAATCAAACAACGAATGCAGATACACGGCTCAATCCACAGAAACGTAATAGAGTGTGCACGCACAGTCTACCTTCGTGAAGGATTAATTGCCTTTTACATATCATATCCTACTACTCTCACAATGACAATCCCATTCCAAGCAGTCCAATTTTCATCCTACGAGTATTTCCGAAAAGTGCTAAATCCCTGCGGAGACTATGATCCCAAAACTCATGTGATGGCAGGTGGATTGGCAGGGGCTATTGCAGCAGCTGCCACCACTCCACTCGACGTTGCCAAGACTTTATTACAGACAAGAGGAACGTCCAGTGACATGCGAGTGAGAAATTGCAGTGGACTTTTTGATGCATTTAGAATTATAAATGAGATATATGGTCTAAAAGGATTTATAAGAGGAATAAGACCAAGAGTATTGTCACATATGCCAAGCACTGCTATATGCTGGAGCGTCTATGAATACTTCAAATGGGTTATTACGACCCGAGATAGAACTCGATTGGCTAGAGCTTATGATTAACGTTGATATGAACATACATCAGCAACTCTACGAGTTGAGGGCTCGAAGCGAAACTGGTTATCGATTGAATATTGCGACTGAGGGCAGACTCGGTCAATTAAGCGGAAAAATAATAACCAGATTCGAAGGAGGATTTGCTACGACATTGCTTGATGGCAGCAGCATTTCTCAGTAGTGCATGCGCTGGTTGTCACTGAGGTTGATCTCTCTTCTGGGGGAATCGGACGGTTAAGAGTCCCCTTCTAACAAGGCCTCTCAGAAAATGAATTCTCAACTTTCATTCATTGTATATTAATCCTATATTTATTTCTGTGCATTTTCTTCTTCTTTTATTGTGATGAAATAATTTGGAAAAGGAGGAGGAAGGTTTCTGCATACTACAAAAAGTGAATCTCAAAATACAAATAAAATTCCCGCGCGTTTATATAGCGCAGCGTTGCTATTAGAATACACCAGGTAGTCATAAAATTTTATCATTTTTACAGCAATCACTGTTTATAGCGATAGCATCTGTCAATAAAAGAAGGAATTGTCGTTTAGCATATCAATGGAATGTCAAAAATAAGATTTGTAATAACCGCTATGGCATGTATAAACGTTGTATACTAATACGAGTATGAATAGCATGCGCATCTTTTTCGAATAATACTATCAAACCGCCAGGAAAAACCCACTGATCCATCCTGGCTTGTTTTGGTTTAGTCTGAGGTTGTAGTTGGGGAAACTCAAAGTCTAACATATAAACTATTCCTTACTGGTTCTAGTATAAATAAATACTCAAGATCCAATGAGCAATCAAGTTTAGAATGCATGAAAAAGATAACTCTAGCCACACATCGACAGGTTGTTTTTCCTAAAATACCCGTGATGGATCAAACGCCGGGAATCTTTCGCAAATTAATCGTGATAGATAGTCCCCCAAATATTGGCTTTTGGAACACCTTTAGCGTTCAACGTAGGTGTTGGCAAATAAAGAACGCAAACTCTAAACATTGGCTTTTGCTAACCTCTTTTTGTAATCCTTTATCTTCTCTCGACACGAATGTTGTAATCACGAGAATGTTGCATAACCAAATTATAATATTAAATTAAAAGTTAGCCAAGTATCTGCACCTTTAGCATTCATTTGCAGGTGCAACTAATACAGAATGCGACTCTTCAAGTGCCTACAATAATAATAGTAATAGATAACGACGACCGCGTCACGTTTGAATTTCTTGGGAAAACGCGTGTCAATATCGTCGTGTGATTAGACTTTGGTCTGTCGAAAAAGTCTATGGCGACTACCAATTAAGGGATTTAAAACAAACACGGGATGCCCGTCGTAACTTGGTAATGTTTATTGTTCTTTCAAAACTATCATTTTTCTTTTTTATCGTTCAATTGGAGGTTTCTGTTATTATACAAATGATAGGACTAAATTAATTGTAATCACTCGACCTTCCCATTTATAATATCACCAATAACATAAATGAGCTATGGAGGCTACTAGTTATATTGTTTAATATGAGCTAAATTTGCTAGTCCCACCATTACATTAATTCTAAGTATGATGCCAGCCGCGCCGTTGTGAACGCGCAGCGATATCTGGGACTAATTACTAAATAAACCGATCAAGCCTGTATTAGTTGATGGTTAAATTCTTTAACATGTGGAAATCATGATGTGTTTTCTTTGCTACTGCTAAGCAATTTATTGTCATTAGTTTTGTTATCATCTTCGTCTTTGTACACCTGTAAACCTAAATCCTGTAAAAGCCTTTCTTTCTCTGCCTTTATACTCCTGTATTGAGTCTCTTTATCATAGATTCGATGCCGCAAATTTATGAGCATTATAACATCGTTTAGACCTATTACTCGACAAGATTATCAACAATGTACAAGATGTGAGGAAAAATAAGAAGAATATGTATTCGCGTTCTCACCTCGTTTAAAATGCCCCTGAGCCTGTCGCAACGATACTGGAACCAGGATCCCGAACCAATTTAACGGATCGGTGGGTACGCATTTATCTACCGTCGACTTAACGCTGGCATTCTCGCTCTTGTCTTTATCGCTCTCATTCTCGTCTTCGTGGGTCTTCTCCATGCTATGTTCATCGCCACCTTGTCCTCCACCCTTTACTTCGTCATCTGTTTCAACGGCGAACGTTATACGTCTACGGATCGAGTTTGTTTCATTGCGATCCTCTGCTTCAGACTCAATTCTAACTCCACCAACATGTTGACTATGTGAATGGTTCGCCAGACTGTATTCATAATGTAAGGTTCCTTCAGAGTCGTCGACTATCGTTTGAGACACGACACTGTTGAGAACGATGTTAGCGTTGTCGTTGGTCGAACAAGATTAAAGAATGCATTGAATTATTCATTATAATTTACACTCTACTGATAGCTTTCATTCGTGCATCATATTTATATTGTGAAATATTAACAGGACCCATAGTATACTTTGCGTGGGCCAAGTCTAGAAACCCCTCAATGAGACAAGCACGTAAAGTTAGTCTGTCGATGTTTCCTACGGATAAAGATAATACTAATACTTACTGCTTCCAGCTCTTTACGTATTCTACTCCATTGCTCTTGGTATTCTGCTATCAAGTCAAAATACTCTATGAGCACGCTATCAAGTCGTTTACAGATATCCTCCATCTTAGCGATACGATCGAGAAGCAAAATTGTACAAGAACCCTGAATGTCGCACAAAATCAAGTCAGTTGTGTAATGCATAAAATCAGGAAACTGACGCGTGTGCAACAATTTTTTAAAAACTCATGGGAAAAGGAAACAACTCACTCTTCCGACGAAACAGAATTCTTTATGGTCACAATCCTGCAGACAATTGCTAAACCCGTAGATGTAGTATTCTTACCGAGTCTGAACGACTGGTGAAAAGACTCATCGATGCAGATAATGGTCTGACAAAATATATTAAAAAGATAGCTAATTCAATGATGTAGAAACATTTTATAAACTCCCTCTGCAATAAGTACTTTTTATAATGTGAGATGATACTAATTAATCATAAATGAACTGCAAAAATTTTAGCATTCCGGCTTATCGTGTAACAAGAGTTCACCCAATCCGAGACGTCAAAAAGTTATTGAAGTCCCGTGTGGTGGTACACGGGCCATTAATGGCTTAAGCCCCACGTTCCCGCGCAAGACCTGTAAAACATCACGTAAAAAGTTCTTTAACAGATACAAGGCGCTCCCCTCTGTCGAGCTGCCAAACCCCACCGAGCTTGCCGTCTCCCAAAGCTTTCCCGCCTGGAACGACAGAAAGCTTTATTCAGCAAAGACTTCACGTAAACCCCGATGGGATACACGCGACATTAATTTCAAGTTTATTTGTCAACAAAAGTTGGTTTTGCATCGCTATTCAGTAACCTCTGGGCAATCCGTCGGCGAAAACAACCTATGACCATCCTGAACACTATATACACGAGTTTATGGACAAAGGGCTCCATCGGGTACAATATCCCCTGTCACCAGTCTCATACGCAACCCATCCGTCTGGACAAACTTTCCCACATTGTGACGCCATTAAAGTAGGGGGGGAAAAATGTGTCATACCAGTGTCAAAAGTCACCTCCGAGGCTTCAAATTCTTCAATGAAAATGATAAAAAGCGATTCTGTCTCTGCTATCGTTGGACCGAAGGCAACTAGACTGAGGCCGGGGCCGTGTCGATTAATCATATTATAAATATGTAAGCCAAAATGACTCCTGCAAGTATTACTACCGCGTGAATAGAATTTTACTTTTATATGACGATTGTGCGAAGGACAATATAACAGAATCGGGGAAAAAAAAGATTTCAGGCTGGATATTATTCTTCGATATATGAAGGGGGTGGCATGCCTCATGTATTTATTTAATTCATTCAATGTCATAATTCTATCACCTGCCGTTTCTGTTACCTTTATTCATTCGGATTGTGTAGTATATAACAATACATAAATATCACTATACATCTATACTAGAAGGAAATTTACTTCGTTTAATATACAAAATGCTCGTCAAATTCGTTCCTTCCGGAATTGAATGGATTCAATTTGACGGATTATTAAGTTGAGCTTGCAAGTCATTAATCCAATCAGTCATCATATCTTTTTCTTTTTTATATGAACCGTCTGCTTCGATCTTCTCGGCCTACAAGATAGCAAGAAATACATAATGAGTATAGCAGTATTGGAAGATGTGCGGATCACAAATGCAATACGATCTAGTACTCACTATAACACGGCCAAGATCCTCTTTACACTTTTTATTGTCTGTTTGTAATCGAGCAATCTCTTTCTCAGCAACAGCAAGCTTTTCTTTCATAAATTTCATGGCCTCGACCATTCTAACTGACGTGCTGTCAGTCAGTTGTAACTATGTTATGACGAAATATGTTAATGTCTCTCTCACCAACTATTGAATCGTATTATTCAACGCTAATATCCACTTACCCGTTCATTTAGTTGCTGAATCTTCGACTCGTAATGTTTCTTAATAAGTGATTCTCGCGTTGCATCACCTTCAGACATCTCAACGCGCTATGATTAACGACCAGATAATGCAATTAGCAAAATTAACGTACTTTCTCGAATCATTCCATCTGCCATAATAACTTGATGACATCTTACCCCAGTGTCCTTTTCTAATGTATTTGACCCACCGGGTGCAAGTGATGCGCTGGTATCATGCTCCTCAGTTTTAGACTCTGGAGTGGTTGAGCACGTCTACAAGCAAAATAGCATTGAGCGTTGTAGCTCAAGTCAATGTGTAGAACAATGCTAGTTCACGTACGTCATTCTTTTGGTCGTTCAATCCAAGGTTTATCAATAACATCTCTCCAAGCGTGTTCATGCCTTGTTCCATGGCATTTGTGGCATTCTTTCTTGCTCTCTCGCTCTCTTTCAATATTTCCGTTGTCCTTATTTGTGCAAATGAGGAAATTATTATCACATTAGTGGGTTTATAACAAGTATTTTCATGTCCAATGGTACTTACTCTTTAAGTTTTGCCTTTGTTTCTTCGAGATCCTTTTCAAGCTGTTGCTTTTCCTCACGAAGAGTATCCATGGCCTCATCTCCTGCGATATTGGAACGTGACAACTCGACCTATACTTGCAAGAATTGTAATTATTACAATCGGATATACACATATAGTCGGATTAATATAAGACGTTACCTCAAGTTCCTCATTCTTCTTCTCTAATTCAGCTATACTAGTTTGGAGTGCACTAATATCTTGATCGTAAAGGCTTTTGGTTTCATAAAGCATGTGAGTGAGCATTTCTATATTCGTTTGGATAATACGTATACTGGATTAGATAATAGTGACAATACTGATTCTGATGCATACAGACTATCGAACAAATACTCATGAGGCTATATTCCAGAGTGTGAAAATTACTCACCATTTTCTTCAATTTTTCGCCCCAGTTCTACAGAGGTGGTCTCAAGCGTGTATTTTGACTTTTCCAGTTCCTTTTTAGCTGAACCCACTAACCAACCTGGAGTCAGCCTCTACAAAAACAGCACACATGGATTAACACCTCTCGGTAAGATACGTTGTACTATATTCATCTTACACTATAGCTTCACAGTACTCGGTACAAATGATTTAACGTCACTCACAGCCTTGCTTGCATCTTGTAGACTTTCGATACGTTTGGTAAGCCGTTGATTGTGAAACGTAAGTAGGTCAAGTTGTTGGATTGACTGAATTGGAGGTAAGAGCAAACAATTGATCGCATCAGTAATTAGTTGCATTATAAGTCGACAATTTTGGGTTTCATTAAGCCGATTTAAACAATATTACTGTACTAAGGTGCCGTGTTATTTACATTGCGTAGATCTTGTTCTTTCACTTTAACTTGTTCGGTGAGTTCTGTATTTCTTGCTTGTTCCTATAGAGGCGCTTATGAAAGTCAGATCAACATCGTGCAAACGGATATTAACATCCAATAATAGCAAAATCAAACCTTAAGAACGGCTTTCTTTAGTATCGAATGCTGAGCTTTTATTCTGTACAAACGTATCGACATGGTTTAACAAACATAATCATCGCATACTTAATAAACATTTAACAACCTGGTGGCGATATTACATGGACTTTTACAAGAGCACGTACTTTGAAAATTCCTGAAATAGTTTCTGATATTTCTCACTCAGTTCTTCGGCTGAAACGGCACTAACTATTGGAAAGATAAACGATCTAATCAGTCGTCCCACAATAACCAACAACGTTAACTACGTGTTATTGCATAACAACGCTAATTTTTCTCTCTACAGTCTTCCTACATGTTGACCCACCCGACGACTGGAACGAGGCTGGGCCTGACATTCTTCTTTCGCTCATGTTCGATTACAGAGTAATGTTATGGACAATATGACAAAATGCCGGTGGTTTAAAAAGAAGAGCAAATCGCAAATCAGATGACAATCAATGCATTGTGATACCATTCCGATCCATTGTTTCTCTGTTCAACAATACTAGACAATATGGGGTATGTTGCAACAAAAACCGACAATAAATGAGAGGCTGATTATGATGTTGGCTGTAAAATTGATCAGTGTGACTGATGACAGTTTGAAAAGTAATAATGGTGTTCATTCATAACTTATGGACTTGTTAATTTTAATGATCACTTTATCATGCCAGAATGTGATGAATAAAAACCATAACATGATGAATATAGGATTATCTCTATATAAAAAATGTTAATATGAAATTAATTTATATTAAATCCACTATGGAACCAAAGAATTACAGCACTATTAAAAGCATTCTAAAAAAAGAACAAGGAGAAAAAATTGCCCCATATGTTTTTAAAATCAATGATATCAAACTTCTCCAGGAATATCTTGATCAAGAAAAAATCACTTATGAAATTTACCAAGAAGAACAAAAAATAATAATAATATACCATAAACAAACCTTAACCCAACTTATGATGAATCAAGAAAAAAACGAAAACTTGAAGAAACATAAGGAAATATTTCTCCAATGCCTCCACTATTAGGAAAGCATATAGGGACCTTTGGAATATTATCACCATGAAGCATCCTGACCATGACTTCCTGATTACAGGTAATCCAGGAACAGGGAAAGCTTTTTTCAATCTGTTCCTCTTGTATTAGTATATGCTGGTCACTGGTGGCAAAATGGTGATTTTTCAGGCAAAAATGGATGAGAAGACATCTTACAAGTTCAGCAATGGTACTGTTGAATGTGCTGATGTACAGAATCTGCATACTGTTCTGGATGACCCACAGGTGTTCTATCTCCTGGACAACATGAAACCTGCAATACCATGTCATGCCTGCAAAGTTGTCATGTTTTCTCCAAATAGAGAACACTGCAAGGATTATAAAAAGGGAAGGACAGTTGACACGAGGATAATACCTGTGTGGGAGTTAGAGGAATTAGAAACCTTGCATCATGATCTTTATCCTGAAATAGATGCTGTCAAGATGAAAAATTTGTATGCACTATGGGGTGGAATCCCTTGGTATGTTGTAGAAAAGGTAAAAATAAAAAGCTCTCAGAAACTGCTTGAAGAGGCCATGTACATGGCAACAGCTAATTTTGATAAAGTAATCTGAAGCATTGGGAACATTGACTCAACAAAAAATGTAAGCCACCATATTATCCATATCACCTGTGATGAAGAGTATCTGCAAGCAGGCATCATCTTTGCCTCTAAATGGGTGGCTGACAAGCTATTCAATTGTTTCAAACAGCTATGTTTTGAGAAGGTCAAGTCATTTCTGATTGGGAGTGAAGGACAATCAGTATGTAGTGGACTGAGAGGAGTGCTTTTCAAAGCATATGTGCACAAAATTCTTCAGAGGAATACTAAGTGCTATCGAATCTGAAATCTTGAAAATGGCAAAGACAGAGAAATATTTTTCATCACATGAGTGTGTTTTATTCACACAACTTGAGGACATTAATCACATAGAACATGAAGAGAAATACTGCCAACTGAAGTCAAAAGACTTTTGTGCAATTGATTCATTCATATTGGGGCATGATACAATCAACAAGCTTTTTCAAATGACAGTGTTGAATGATCATCCAGTCAGCCTGGTTATTCTTGGTATTGTACCAGGTATATTAAAAATAAAAAAGAAGCAAAAAATAATCCTGAACCTCAGCAATTTCTATCCATAGAAAAGAATCCAGAACATGCAAAAGAATTGCTTACCTGGATCCAAGATGCAATAACAACTGGAAAGTCATGCAATCCTGTCTATAGTATTAATGGAAAATGCAGTACAGGAGTATTTAGTAAATTTTTAAACCCATATGGTATTACAGCCAAAAGGTTAAGAAAAATCAGAGGTAAACATGCTTCTAGAGTTCATGGTGGTCAAAATCCAACTTTGTAACATCTTGAATTCCTTAGCAGAATTGCAATAAGACATAAGATAGACCGTTTTGATTCTGGAAAGTATTATGCTGAGGGTGATACTTCCGATTCTGACCTTGATTCAGATCCAGAGCCTGAAC